CTCTATTCTATTCATTCTCTATTCTATTCATTCTCTATTCCATTCCATTCCATTCTAAAGGCGTTGAGAATAGTGACATGACCATTGTTCACACTTATGACCATTGCAGCATCCCCAGTGTCACGTGATTTACATTTGGATGCTTGATAACTGACTCACATTTACGACCATTTCAGTGACCCAGGAGGTAATGTGATCCCCTTTTGAGACCTTCTGGCAAGCAAAGTCAATGGGGAAACCCAGATTCACTTCACAACCAGGTTATGAGCTTAACATCTTCGGTGATTCACTTAACTGTGGCATACAAAAGTTGTTAAATGGAGCAAAGCTCACTTAACAGGTATTTCATTCAATAGAAATGCTGGGCTCAATTGTGGCCGTAAGTCGAGGACTATCTGGACCCAAAACCTCAGGCAAGGGTTAATTTTTTAACTTTGATGTCTCTTTGAGGCAGGTTGGGGGTGACTGGGCTGACTCCCCAGCAAAGGAGGCCTCAGGCTTAATTAATTCCCAGTCTGGCCAGGGGTCTCCTGGCATGCCGCTGCCAAAGGGCTGGAGGCTAGTGGGGGGGAAAGAAGATCTGGGAACAGGGGGTATCTAAGAGGTTAGGGGTGCCTGAGGCTGGGGGCGGGGGGGCAAAAGGGATCTACAAGAAGGGGGAGGGGTGCTGGAGGTTTGGGGGGCAAAAAGTGTCTGGGAACAGAGGGCTCAAGAAGTTTAGGGGTGTCAGTAAAAATCAGTAAAGAATAACAGAGTTGGAAGGGACCTTAGAGGTCATCTAGTCCAACCTGCTCACGCAGGAGACCTGCACTAGGGATTCGAACCGCCGACCTTTCTGATCGACCAGCTCAGTGTCTTAGCCCAGTGTTTCTCAACCTTGGCAACTTGAAGATGTCCGGACTTCAACTCCCAGAATTCCCCAGCCAGCATTCGCTGGCTGGGGAATTCTGGGAGTTGAAGTCCAGACATCTTCAAGTTGCCAAGGTTGAGAAACACTGTCTTAGCCACAGAGCCACCTACTGAGGGTAAGTGAGACTAGTCAGGGTAAGCTGGAGGCTTGTGGGGGGGCAAAGAGGGTGTGGGGCAGAGAGGATATAGGAAGTTGGGAGAAGGTTAGGGGTGACTTGGCGATTCCCCAGTAAAGGAGTTCTCGGGGTCAATTCATTCCCAGTCCAACTTGGGGGTGGGGTGGGGGTCTGTCTCCCCGCACCTTCAGAGCCTCGGAGGCCTTTCGTAGCTCCCGGATGACGGCGGACAAGGCCTCGGGGTTGATGCCCTGCTCGCATAGCCGCACGCAGATGGAGAGCGTCTCGGCGTCCAGGCCGGTGTTGAGCAGGCGAGAGATCTCCATCAGCACTGCAAGAAGAAGAGGGAAGGCGGGGGGAGGTCAGTTAGCTCCGGGGCTCATCTGCATGGTCTCGAGGGGACCCCGGAGGGAGAGAGATGGAGGGGGGAAGGCGGAAGGCTGTCCTGAGCCCCAGTCAGGGCTCGTCTGCATGGCCTCGAGGGGACCCAGAGGGAGGGGAGAAGACGACCCCCCACCCACCCCACAACAGATGGGACGCACCGTCCATCGTTTCCCTCACGGCGTTCAAGTTGCCGGAGGAGGTCGCCATGACGGCAGCCCCCGCGACCTTTCACCCGGAAGCCCAACGGAAATAGGCGTCGCGAAAAAAAACAAACCGACGGCGGCTACCATAGAGCGGAGGCGAGGGAAAGAGAGAGAAGGGCGAGGAAGCGCCGCCCCCAGCCAATGGACTCGCGCTCCCCTTTTGAATGCGGCGGCGCCTCTCCCCGGAGAGGCTGCTTCGAAGGCAAGGGGCGGGGAAAGCCCTCTTCCCGCGCTCCGATTGGCCAGCCGGCGCGGAGGAGTTAAAGAGCCGTCCGCCTCGGCAGGAAGCGTTGGGCTGGCAGGTCGGGGGGCTGTCCTGCTGTCGGGGCTGCTGAGCGGAGGAGCCGGCATGCAACGGCGGGGAGCGCTGCTGCCCGAGACTCCCGGCCGGGTGCAGAACCCCTTCGAAAGCCCCGGAGACGTCCGCCACTTGCAGGAACAGACCGTCTGCAGCCCCAGCGCCTTCCGTCCCGCCCCGCCCCCGGAGGTGAGTGGAGGGGGGGGGTTGNTTTTTTTTTCCTTTAGCATTTTCCTCTTCTGCAGGTGCCTTCATCAACACGCACGTACACACAAAGCAGGCAACATCCCTTGACACACAAAGCTGACTTGCAAGCTACTTAGCAACTACCATCTTTTCGCCAGACCAATCGTCCAATCGGTGTCAGAAGCTTCACAAAAGGCAAAAAAAAAATTGCAGAAAGAAAGGTTGCAGAGCTGACTATACCGTTTCCTCGAAAATAAGACCCAACTGGGAAATAAGCCCTAGCATGATTTTTTGGGGGGTGCTTGTAATATAAGCCCTACCTCACAAAATAAGGCCCAGTTAAGATCATCAGCCAGACGGACACAATTAGTACCGTATTTTCCCTAAAATAAGACCTAACCGGAAAATAAGCCCTTGTGCATCTTTTTGGAGCAAAAAATAATCTTATTTTTGGGGAAGAATGGTAATTTTCAAAGGACAGATACACATCTCAATAAAATGACACTTGTGCCAGCCAGTAATGATGTAGACAAAACAGTTACCTGAACAATGACTGGTTTTATTTACCATAAAGTTCTTGAAATGTTTTAACACTTAAAGGTTCCAAAAATTCTGTCATGAAAATACATCACACTGGATAAAACAAGGTTGCTTTTCTTTCAGGCAGTATTCAATGAAAGAAAAACGAAGAGGTTTTCCTCATGTTAATAGCACACAGTCCAATGAGATTAATTTAATGCCAAGGCAAACCATTTTTTATTTAGCTTTTTGAAATAAACTATGAGAAAAATAAACCAAAATTTTAAAAAAGTATCAAAAGGGGGGGGGGGGAAGAGCCAAAATAAATATAATGCTGTTTTTAAAGAAAACATTTTTTTTCATAAACACATTAAAAGGTTTACCATATTATTTATTCTCCCTTTATTATTTTAAAAATAACTCAAGGCAGTGAACGTATCCAACACACCTCCCTTCACCTATTTTCCCCACAACAACCACCTTGTTAGCCGGGTTGAACTTAAGAGTGACTGGCTTGAAGTCACCCAGCTGTCATTCATGGCTAAGGAGGGATTTGAACTCACAGTCTATCACTTTCTAGCCTGGTGCCCTTAACCAATAGACCAAAGTAGCTCTGATAAAAGGTATTTTCGTAGCATCTTTTTTCCTACCGGTGACTTATGTGCAATTTTCCATTTTCATTAGATGTACATTTCTCTGTGAAGCGGAGAGAGAACAAGCCAGGAATAGCTTTCTTCAGCCTTTTGATAAGCTGACATTGTTTTCATAGTGTGCAACAGCCATTTGCACACTAAGGCTAAGGATCAGCATTACAAAACTTGATCAACAAGCACGTTGGTCATAAAAGTTCGCAAGATTGTTTCGTTCAAAAGACATCGTTTCATTCAGAACAAGATTGTTTGGTTCAAAATATATATTGTTTGGAACAGCAGTATTCCCGTATTTGAGGGCCTCAACTTATTTTGAAGAAGGGAGGGGGGAGAAGAAGGGGGTCAACTTATATTCCAAAGCATCTGAGGGCAGGACAAGAAATAAAGGGTGGAAAATAATCAAGGAGAGAAGCAACCTAGAACTGAGGAGAAATTTCCTAACAATGAGGACAATTAACCAGGGAAACAGCTTGCCTTCAGAGGTTGTGGGTACTTCATTACCGGAGGTTTTTAAGAAGAGACTGGGCATCCACTTGTCTGAAATGGTCTAGGGCCGTGATGGTGAACCTGTGGCACGCATGCCAGAAATGGCACAAAGAGCCGTCTCTCCGGGCATGCCAGTCATCGCCTGCTGCTCTTCCGGGTTCCGGCGCACACATGCGCAATGGCCAGCTGGTCTTTGTGCACACATGTACACCAGAAACGGGAAGCTCAGCTTCTTGGTGCGTTCTTCCAGGTTCCGGTGCCGCCCCCCCCCCCAGTGTGTGCTCCTGTTTCGGCACTTGGTGCCGAAAAGGTTCGCCAACACTGGTCTAAGGTCTCTTGCTTGAGCAGGAGGTTGGACTAGAAGACCTCCAAGGTCCTTTCCAGATCTATTTTGATTGATTGAAAAGATGCTGTTCCATTCTAGTTCAATTCTCGGAACTGCAATATGTAATCTCTCTTCTTAACCCAAAGGCTAAATACGGTGCAATTGGATAAATTTGAAACTGAAACTTATTTTTGAACCTTTTTTTCACAGTATAGCAATTGTTTTAACTGCAGTGAAAGCGTCAGCAAATTGTAAATAACTGGAATACAGAAAATAACACTTTAAAAATTAATCCACCACAGTGAACTCCTTCAGGCAGATGTCTGTGTTCTAATGGTAAGTACATTGGCCACATCTGAATGATACAGTCAACATTTTATCAAATATGAGGCACATGTTTCAACTGGGACAATGAAATAAATTTCTGAGTTAATACATAATTGCAAGATTTTTAAATCACATACAACAAAAAGATACAAAATGCATTTTGAAAGATTATTGGTTAATAGGTATTTAAAAAGCAATGTATTTTCTATACCCGTGAGAAACTTACACAACCAATAACCAACATCTTCAACAAAAATCTTCTACGAATGAAGGCAAAATCTTCTATTTCTCAGAAGCTTCATCTCAATAGAAAAAAACCTTTTCCTCAATTTAATTTGTCATATTGTCAGCAGCCTAGGAAAAAAGATTTCAATTATACCAGTGTAGGTTCATCAGCTACTGCAAATTAATAGCAACACACCGAATTGCAACTGTTCTGGCTGTTTAAAATGCCTGTAGAAATCAATGATTTGGTTGTTCTTGCTTCCAGGAAAATCATGCTACCCAAGAGCTGCCATTTAATTGGGAAACATATTCCCAATTAATTATAAAAGCTAAAGCAGAGGGGTGAATCACTAACTTACAACAGAATGAAAAGACATGAACTGGATATCCTTCCCTTTCTCTCTTTTTCGCTCAAGTTACTTTAGACTTTTCTAGCCAATGCCAGGGAGGGTATAATACTGGGGAGCGATTCTAAATCAGTTCTTCCCATCGCATGGAAGGGACCACATACAAAAGAACTAGAAAACATGGGGATATTACCTGAAATGTATAACAAAGAGAATACATATTTAATTATTCATGTATTATCTGCAGCTAGAATTGTATTTGCACAAAATACAAATATCTTCAAAAGTGAAGATATTCCTACTGATGAGAAGATGATTAGGAAAACATTAGAATGTGCAGAAATGAATAGACTAACATTAGCAATTAAGGAACAAACTGATTACTATATAATATGGGAAGTGTTTTATCAATGTTTAGAGAATAAAAAAGGAAATTGGAAATAAAAGAAGACAAAAAGAAGAATAGAAAATATATCAAGATAGAAATATGAATAAAATGACAATTGTTAGTAGGATGAGAATGTTTAATGTTATTGTACTGTTATTAGAAGACATGGTAAGAAGGAAATGAAGAGCTTTACAATGTTTAATCGTTCAATGTATTATAATTTGTGTAAGGATGTTGTACAGAAATATTAGTACTCAAACAACACACTGCTTAAGGAATGATGAAATGTTTACATTCTTAAAATTGAAAAAATAAATAAAAACATTATTAAAAAAAGAACTAGCAAACATGGGCAGTTTGTGAAAGGCAGCTACTCCTAACTTGACCAGAGCTGTTCACGACAAAATAAAATCTTTTCTAGCTTAATCCCACTACGGGTATTCTTCTACGTAGGGATAAAAACTGAGCTCAAAATTTCCACTGCCAAGCAAAACAGTGAATTCTGACTCATTTCCCAATCTTTTTTGCCACTGTTGTCTAAGTGAATCACTTCAGTTCAGTTAGTAAATACGGTTGTTATGTGAAATCTGGCTTTCCTATTAACTTTGCTTGTCAGAGAGTCGCAAAAGATGACATGTCTCCAGGACGCCGCAACTGCCACAAGTACATGCAAGTTGCCAACTTTTGATCATGTGACCGTGGGAATATTGCAATGGTTGTTAAGTATGAAAAATGGTCATAAGTTACTTTAGGGCCACACTTATGTAGCGGTAAGCATTGTCATAGGTGATCGAAATTCAGATGCTTGGGAACTGACTCATCTTTGTGAAGGTTGCAGGGTCCCAGGGTCATGTGATCACCTTCTGTGATCTTCTGACAAGCAAAGCCAATGGGGAAGAGAGATTCACTTAACAACTGTGTTTACTAACTTAACTGTGTGTGGGGGGGGGGGGAAGTCATACAATGGAGTGAAACCCCCTTAACAAATGTTTCATTTAACAACATAAATGCTGGGCTGTGGTCGTAAATCAAGGATTACCTTTATGGCCCTGCCACACAATTTGATTGTCCCAGGGCACAAGACAGTGTTGTGGGAATTAGTTGTTTAGAAAAGTGATGGTGTTGTGTGTGGGGGAGGGGGGCAGGGAAATCTGTCTTTGTGTCTAGTTGTTTTGTCCATTCATTCTCTATACTCTATTCTATTCCATTCTATTCATTCTCTATTCCATTCCATTTTATTCATTCTCTATTCTATTCTATT